GACTAATCCTCAATCAACACTATAACTAGCTAAACGTAATAGTTTCAGGATATCGTCATAAAGCATTGTCATGACAATCACGTAATATGATTGATAAAATTAATGAGACTATTAACAAAATCGGTCAGCAAATTGACTTATAATTATCACTAGTGTTGTTTTTCTTTTATCTTCATTCACTACGGATGATTACAGTATGTTTCTCTATCAGTTGCTCATTCAGTAAATATCTCAAAACCTTGTCAGTCTAATTGGAGGTTTAGCGACACAATCATGCATGCAAATAATCAGTATAAGCAGTCGAGCAAATCTCCTGCAAACTGAAAACATCAATGTCGAATTTACCCCAACACTGACTAAGGTTCAAGCCATTATCATAGACGTGAGTTTGGAGTGTACTCCCCTTGGTTACAACTTGTGTTCTTCCTGATAATCACATGAGCATCACTCACTGTTAATCATCTTGTAAAAGCTTATTTAGCCGAATACATCCTGCGGCACCACATCACTTCGTAATATGACACAGGCCTAACTGATTTTAATAACCTATAACCACTATATCTCAATTTAATCTTATTCCGCCTTATGATAAACTGCATACTTGCAACTAACTTGTATGCCCAATCAGCCAGCAAGTATAAATATAAATAAATAGTCTATTGCAGATCAGAACATTGAGTCCAGAGCATGTCTCTTACGAACACACTCATGTTTAGCGATTTGTTCCTAGCTATCTGTCCAAAATTCATATAATTATCACTCATGTATTTAAATTTTATTTTGATAACCATTCATGTGTATTAGTAGTATTACTAAATTCTATCACGGTCAAATAAAAATGAGGTTGAGAAAATCTCCCCGTAACTAAATAAACCGTATCAAACTAACTGGAACACTAGTTGGAATTCTTCTCCACGGTATACTTTTGTTCTCCCAGTTAGCCTACTAATACAGATGCAATTGGAAATCACTTATGGACGGGTTACCAGCATAATTGTTAATTGGTTTCATAATTTTAACCAAAACTAATACCAATATTAACATTTCTACAATATTCATCACTTTAATATTTCTAAACACAAAATACTTACTACCTATACGTTAAGTTATTAACACGCATCGTTTTATTATTATTATTATTATAATCTCATTTTTTATAGTTCAAATAATCTTCACCCAAATTTTCATTTCAAGCGTTTTAAGCATGAAGGCAGATATTTTAAAATTATTACATGTATTTCCCGACCAGATGCTGCCGCCTTCTTTTTGATTTATCTTTCAGCTTATCAATACCCGGAGGATCTTTATTATCCTTGGTAACCTCCGGCGCGCGACGATCCCATCTAATTTGGTATCGAACCAACTTCACGTTGATTCTGGTGGGAGAGTAGTGTAGTGGCATTGGACAATAGCCACACAATCCACAAAGCTGTGAACACGAGACTACTCAGAAAATAAATATTCAATATTTAACGCCGAGAAATACCTAACAATGGAGAAGGCGCGAACAATGAATTGAATGGACTGGAGTTGATCGAGTGGCATGGCTCGGCCATGCAGGCGTGGTCTCTATTCATATTAAATATATTGTTCCTTCTCTAAACTAAGCTGGTTCTTCATCATGTATTGGTAATTGATACGATACAGTGAGTTGGCGTAGTCGATGGTGTGACTTCCACGTAAGATCTTAAAGATTAGGCAGTTATATCATGACGAATCTACAAATTTAGGATTAGGTCTATTATTAGAGCAGTACTAATATCATAGTAGACCATAATTCTACACAATTACCGTACTCGCCTGTTACTCTCGCTCCTAGGTAATGCGGATTTAAAGTAGACAGTTATTACTTATTCACTTACTTATTTGCTTGCTTACTTACTTATTCCTGTTACTCCTCATGGAGGAGCGTGATCAATTCAGCAGCAACCTGCATTCAACTATGTCCCGGACAATCCTTTCCAGTTCTTCCTAGTTACCATTCATTCTTCTCATGTCTGCCTCCGATTTTCGATGCAATATAATTTTAGACCTTTCTGTTTCTCGTTTCTGCTCCGGATTCTGAGTTAGCACTTGCCTGATAATGCAGTTTAGAGATTTCTGAAATGTATGTCACATCCATTTCCAAAGACAGAATTTCAATATGATGTAAATCCCAAGGGATTCGGATCATATGCAAAGTACTGGTAATTTAATTCTTGGTTTAGCACAGAGTTTGCATAGATCCAAAGACAATTCGGGCAAGATACGTAGTGAAGATGCCGAGGGCGCGCGGAGTTTGACAATGCTTTAACCGATAACACCGTCTAATATGAAGCGTACTCACCTAGTGAAATCAAAAGACAGAAGCGAGGAGGGTCGAAGATATATTTGATAGGCTATCAATATATCGAGGATCGTCTGATCTAGTCTGGCTGGCGATTGCATGGGTTGTTGAGCACGGCGTTCCCACTCGTGATCTGGTACGGATGCATGACCGAGTGCCTTCAGCTAAGTGGTCAGCATCCAATGTCGAAAACTTACAGAGCTATTTATTTTGGGGATTTATTTACCGCTACAGTAACACTGACTGAATGAAAAATCTGACCTAAATTTGTGACTATAGGAAGTTTATAATCCAAACTCATTGTAAATTTCTGGTTTTTGTCTGTTGCGTTTGACCATGGAACTCAGCAACCGGAAATTGGGCAGACAGTGGTCAAGTAAAACCAAAATTCTGGTTTATATTTTGTGACCGAAATTTGTGTTCAAAGTGGTTAAGCAGGAAGATGAATTATAATCATGCATCCATAAGCTACAGACAGATGTGCGCTTGCGTTGCCTTGTGGTCGAACTTATGAGTAGTTCATATTTTAACAGTTATATTACACGAAGCACTCATATGCTTCTAGTGATTGTTAGAGAACCATGATATCCGGTTATAATCGCAGTTGAATAGTTTGTTATCATCAAACGACCGAGTTATTCAGTTTTACAGTTTACAGTTTGGGAAGGACAGGAGGCTCGGTGGCCTATGTTAGTCCTGGCAATGGTGGTCTCTCAGTTGATCCAACTTTCTTTTGAAAGAGTCAACCACGTACTGAGGTAGTGAATTCCACTCGTTGATGATTCGATGGGAAAGTCGATAGTCAGCTGACAAGTAATTTGTTCTGGGCTTGTGAACTTTTTTGGAGTGTCCTCATAAATTCTCTGTTTTGGAAGACAAGAAAAATGAGGGCATATCAGGTGCAAATTTATCACTAAGCAATTTGAAAACTAATCAAGTCGCCTCTAGTTCTGCGATATGACAACGGGAAAAGGTTCAGCTTGGCCAGTCGAGATTCATAAGGAAGCTTCACTACTCCGGGAATCAGCTTAGTCGCCGTTCTCTGATCCTTTTCCAAAAGCTCACTGTCTTTTTTAAGCAGGGGCTGGCCGTTTGTATGCAGTACTCAAGTTTAGGACGAACGAACACTGTATACAAAGTCAAAAACGTTTTAGCGATGACATGACTAAAGGCTCTACGTATTGACCATAAGGTTCTAAAACCTTTGGCGGCTATTGCACGGCAGTGTGCAGTAGTCTTTAAGTCCTGACTAACGATAACTCCTGAGTCACTATATATCTGGACGACAAGTAGCTCAGTGTTATTCATCGTGTATGTATCTGTGCCTTGATGACCGATATGCATCACAACACACTTGGAAGTATTTATCGGCAACTGCCATGTTTGAGACCATTCAGATAACTTCTTCAGGTCATTTTGAATTTCTAAGCTATCACTCTTACATCGTATCGTTTTCCATATCTTCACATCGTCAGCATATAGCAAGACCGATGATGATAGGAGACGAGGAAGGTCATTTACATACAAGAGGAATAGCACTGGCCCCAAAACTGTACCCTGGGGGACTCCACTAAGCACAGTTTCCCAGCTAGATAACTTTGAGTTTACCCTTACTCTTTGTTGACGCCCAACTAAGAAGTCTTTTATCCACATCAATAAATTGCCTCCAATCCCGACTTTTCTTAACTTATATAACAGCCGGTTGTGCGGAACTTTGTCAAAAGCTTTACTGAAATCAACGAAGGCGACGTCTACAGGTAGCTTTTGATCCTTAAGAGAGTACCAGCTTTCACGAGCCACTAACAAGTTAGTGTGACAAGAATAACCTATTCTGAAGACGTGCTGCTTCTCCGAGAGGATCCGGTTTTTATCGAGATACCTAAACAGCTCCTTCCGAATAATCTTTTCTAAGATTTTAACAACCACACTAGTTAGGCTTACAGGGCGGTAGTTCTCAGGTTTGTGTTTCGTACCTGTTTTGAAGACAGGACTTACTATGGCGTTTTTCCAGTCTTTTGGTAAACGACCCTGCGTAACGGATAGGTTAAAGCATGTACTAAAAGGGCTTGTAACGAAGTTAGATAATTCCTTCAGTAGCCTAGGATGTAATTCATCGGGCCCCGTGGATTTACCTATGTCAAGCTTATTTAGCAGACCAAAGACATCGAGTTCTTTAATGGTCACGCTATCCAGTGTATGTATGGGGGGATCTGTATACGCTGACGAGAAGGGCGCTTCTATGGTATACACGTTGCTAAAGTAGTTCGAGAACGCTTGAGCCTTACCAAAGTCGTCCTCCACTAATAATGAAGCAGTACTGTCTCCCCATAGAGCAGGAATATTTCCTTTTCTCCTTGTCCTTTGGTTTATATAGGAATACAAGCGTTTAGGACATTCTATGGATTCCTTAACAAGTTTTCCTTCGTACAATTTTCTAGACTTACGGAGGGTCGAGGCACAAGTGTTCCGAGCCTTTCGATACTGAGATTTTGACTCATCAGTCCCCAGTAACCTAAATCTATCCCACGTTTTCCTTTTCTTACGGAGAAGGATACGGACCTCCCTACTGAACCATGAGCTGTTAGTGAGGCATCATGCTGTGATTTCCGGTTACTTCAAAATGTCTCTGAAAGATATCTGCTCATGAAACATTGTTTTAATTGACAATTCACCAGGGATCGATGAAATCAAACAATATGGCTGCGTCCATGGATGTAAACCTTCAAATGGATCAGGTTGGTTGGTCTATTTTAAATGATCTTTTGGCATTTCTGTGAGATGACAGCTGTTGTTTAGCCGATTTTTAAAAGCTGTTCCCAGTTAGTCCTCATTTTTATCGTGTATTTCGAATATTAGACTCTTGTACGACCTTGTGTGCACTAGTGTACATTTCATATTACCTGAAGTTGTTGTCAAATTTCATTTGACATACGCATTAATCAAAATTGTAAATGTGTTTTTTAGTACCATGCCCATCACCCACATGTCTCTGGTGGTTCACTGTCTTCCCATCCTAGTTCGGGGCATCTGCAACACGAGGGTGCTAATACCCGCCTCCCGAATCAGTTTGGCATCCAGTCACAAGGCCATCATTTTGGTCATGTCCATGACTCGTATGTCAATTCGACCCCGTCTGTCCAGCAGATTTTGATGCAACAGCAAGTCCAACATCAGCGGTCAGCTCATTTCGCTCCTCAAGGTATAGTTTCGGAATATGGATTTGTATTCCATTTGACGAATTGTTTACGCTTTTATCTGTCCAAAGTGATTTGCTCATTATTGCTGAGCTTGGTTACACATACGAATGCATGTCAACGTGTTTGATATTAGTCATTTCTACATATTATCTATATCGTATCAGATATTCTGGTTAGTTTTCAACGTGTGAAGTAGGCTCTTTTAGAAGTGAACACGTATAAATATAAATTCGTGTTTATCTAAGATTGATAGGGAACCGTATTATTACTGTCATATGGTAAACTGGATGGTACTGCTGAGTTCGCAAAGTGGCATCATGCTTTTCATAGCGTCACGGATTGTTCTTGTCAATCAGCTCCCCTACACGGTTAGTATGAGCTTATAGTACTACTACTACTACAAGTGACAACCCTCTGGTTCGGTATTTTTTATCCATGTAGCCTATATATCTTTCAAATCAAAACACGCAACTCATGTAATGTTATGTTCTCAATTAGTTCTGCTATTAAGATGCAAACTTACCAAACACTGCTATTTAACAGAATGCCACCAACTTTTTGGTGTACGCTTTTTCTTAGTGTTGTGATATAAGAGTATCTCTAAAGCCATCTGGCTTAATATAATATAAAATCTATTACAAATTCATTCGCAGTTACAAGCGACGTGAAGTTTAGCATATGTTCCATCGGTCTAACTTGTCTCACCATGATAGCGAAACGAAGTGAAATCATCAAGACGAATACCATAGGAGTAATAATAGTGGTAATAATTAGACGCAGAAAATATGATTCTTCTAAACAAAAAGCACTAAATAACTTGGAGAATCTTTTGATCTAAAGAAAGATTGAATGCATATCCAGTTTTTATTTATAAGTCCATTGAATGTTAGATGATTAATATCCATCTGATCGCTTCTCAAGAACTAAACTCCACGAATTTAGTGTAGGAAACTGAGAAAATACCAGTAATAGTGCATATTGAAAGTAAATCCTATTATGACATGTTGCTTTATTCTCTAACAGCATTTGTTTAGGGGCTATTACAATAAATCATAACTGAGATCAGATTGAGTTGCTGTCACGGAACCTGTTTACTGTTAAAACGGAATTAAATTGCTATTTATTCCCAAGTTATTTGATCTTTTGACTGTTTTTAGTAACTATGCTGGCATATTTGAAATTAAGTTCCCTCCTGTAAGTTCTAAATAATGCTTGAGGGCTGTTCCACGTCAACGCTTGAAGTATAAAGCGAAGTAGTTGAGTGGACCAGTCACTTTACCTAAGTCTCGACAACCCTAGTCAATTGGTGTCAGACAAAAGCTCGATTAGCTCTGTCAACTTACATTGACAAGATATCCGTCAATCAACGAAAGAATAAACATACAGATCAGAAATTTGCTTTCTACTTTATACCTGTGAAACATGGCTTCTAGTATTGACGACATTTATAGGTTGCTAGTATACGGTCATAGATGTTTTCGAACTATCCCTTGTGTACCTTAGAACCATCAATTTCGCCATCCTGAGGTTCTGAATAAGAATTGCAAATCGACTGATGGGTTAATGAATCTGTATCGACTGAATTAGTTAAAACTTGTGTGGCGTATGCCCATCCACTGACTACCTTGACTCGCGATAGTAGCTGGTGTAGGGGTAGGTTGGAGAAAGGCTAAGGGGGGCCAAACTAAGACATGACATTAATCTATGGAAACACCAACTTTTGGACTGAGTCATGTAGACAGGTGAGGACTACCTGGTTTAGTTTCGCGTGACTATCGTAACCAATAGTTGGAGACGGTGACATGGCTCAGAATCAATCACAATGGCGTAGGTGTATGCACTCTATCTTCTCTACGTTGTAGCTGACTGACTGGTCACGATATGTGAACATTGTTTAATTTGAAAAGCTTGATCATTGCGTATCTGTTGCCAGTTTTGTCAATTTCGGTTGTTATCGTATAAATTAGTATCCAGTTGGTTGTCAATGACGTGCTGGTCTATATGATCAAAAGATAACGTTAGAACCAATCGACAGCTGTTAAATTTGTGCTTGTTAGTGGCAAAATTGTCATGTTACGACTTCCATTTCAGCGTCCAACAATTTTGTGTGTATTGTTTGTCTAATCAATAAGTGCTGTCTCAGGATATTCAACCCCACGTTACCAAACTTTTATTTATTTGGACACAAACACTGGTACAAGGGGGCACCATATACATATGCGCCGCAATAACAATGAGGCCAGTAGTAGTTATCACTGATTTATGTGTGGGCTGTAATACTGCTCGGGTGCTCAGACCGAAGCAGGTGGTTTTCTTAAGGAGCCACACCTGGAGCCTTCGACCTAAAAGTCTGATCCATAAGGCAGTGGAGCAACTTAAGGAGATGCAGCCCCGTGGTAGCCGGTGACCAACGATCAGTTCATACGCCATTTGTTCCCTCAAAGTACTGGAGCCCATGTGCACCATTGGTTTGGAATCAGGGTTTTCCAACTCCACTTGATGGATCCTCTGTGTCCACTATCACAGTTAAAGCTCCGGACATTCACTTTTTATCCTCTGAATTTCGTACACAACAGTAATGCCGCGAGGTAGTTAGTAGCACTTCCTCGGCAGTGATTGTATACGTGTGGCCATGTGAGAGCATTTCGAGAGGGAGCGAGCTCTCCCCACCCTCCGCCGTATCAATGCATTTGGAGGCAACTTTTACTACTGAGTTACTGTGATGCAGCTCCAAAGTTATTTCTATTTGATGACATTCATAGGATAGTCTAAATACCTTCAACACCGCGTTATTACTTGTGCATACCTAAGACTCTCTATTTGTCTCAACGGGTTCAATGACATAATCTTCAATACAAAAACAGTTCATTTGCCATCTGATTTTACTGGTGGTAGTAATAAAAGTCGAAGTAGTATCGTCATTCAGTCATAATCACCATAGAGCTTGTGACAAATATGAGTACTCTCAAGTTGTTTTACTAACTTAGCTGGGTGAATTGGAATTAACAAGTTGGATATCATAGTAAAAAAGTAGTACAGTCGACAATAAAAATACGAAATACCGGAAAATACAGTTCAACAAGAATAGATGGATTCGGAAAATGAGAGTACGAAATTATTTGAAGCTCAGTACTCTGGGTAAGATAATGCAGTTTGACCGCTAAATCTCTATGTAAATAAGCTGTATATATTCTTGTGTTTTGGATGTAGTAAAGTCGAATAAGAAATTTCAGAGTTAAATGTGAAGTTTGGAACAGGAAGGGTCCTTTAGTCGGCCAGTTTGTGAATTCGCTTGGTCCAGATCAACTAAAAATCTTTCTCATGGAAATTCATCAGATAGTTTTGGGTTAAGACATGGTAAGGTAACTCTCCTACCAGGATTGAATTTTTGTACGCAGCTCTAGGTCACATTTTATGGAGGCTAGCAACACTATTCGGCTACCAAAACCAGAGTAGGCGGCATAATGGTTAAAAGATTTTACCACCAATCCACTGTCTCATTAGTTAATACATATTAAGTGGATAATTACTTGCGCCAAATGATTCAACCTCGATCATTGAAGTATAAATATTAGTTTATGTTTATTAAAGATACTAAGGAAATTGCAACTCACTAACTCAACCCAGGGTTATATATTTCCACCTATTATATCATATCTGGAGATGATACACAGTTATGTAGGGTGTACTAGATGGGGAAAGATGTGAACCCATGGTCCAGTAACTAACTTTTATGTCCAAAACACGGAGCCATAACATTTCCCCCTACTTAGTTAACTGCTTGCGCATACCATTCGAGATTATTTTCAAATTTCGTTTCGCTCACTAACATTTTACAATGTAAAAACAGATGAATTCGACATCTGTTTCATATGTCGTTACGCCCATCATTCGCTAGTAGTTTAGTTCGTCCGTACTATTGGATCTAAATTTTGACCAGCTCTTCACCTATTTCGGTTCGTGCAGTTAGGTAATACATCTATCAGTCGCTAAGCATTCTTTTGACTTATTCGCAAACAATAATTTTATTGTTGGCTTACATCAATTCATAAAAAAGTTAATGTGTCACAATACTGTTGTTTTTCTAATTTGCATATTTAAAATCTGTAACTCCGTATTTCGGTCTGATATGAAGAGTTCATTATGACCAGTTATGCTAAATAACTCTCATCATGTGTGGTGTAAATCTCTCATATTTCCAAACATTTTACTCGTTTCTATTCACTTAAGTATATGACAGCAATGAGCGGTTAACAAAACCACACCCCAATCACAATACAAGTCCTCTGAACCAGGTAAATCAAATGCGCATTCAAATACCTGCTCACCAACAAATTCCCCATCCTTTGCAACCCAATAATCCCACTGTCACTTCAAATCCCCGATATTCTCCTATAGATCATCATGGATCGCATCATTCCCCACCAATCTCGAAAGATAGTTACAACACTGCCTATCATTTGCAAGACCAATCACATGTCCTTACTCATACATCTCATTTACAGCAACCTGTATATCCTTATCATGGAGATTCATCCCAAATGCAAAATCCACAGACGACCGCCCACACAACAACTGAATTATCCAATTCTCAGTATACGGGACATCACTTATCCATGCAATTAAATAACAGTGCTTCCGGAGATAACGATATTCACCATTCTGGTAACCAACATCCTCATGTTTCTACTGGTTTCCAAGCCCCTCCAGCTCCCTATGTACCTCCAGCTAAAAAGCGGCGGGGAAGACCCCCAACTCATCCAACTTTTGATGTCGGTAAGTCCAATGATATTCTTAAGTTACGTAAATGTTTGCTCCCCCAGTCGAGTTTTTGTTTTCAAATAAACCTGTAAAGTTCCTTCATCTTCTGTCCTTGATTTATGGCGATAAACGTCTATCTTCCAACTCGTTTCTCATCTCAACATTTTTCGTTCTTAACGGTATCTACAATCAAACCACTACATTTCTCTTATTCCAGTCTAATTGCGACAAATTCCAGACGTTAATAAAACAATCCAAAAGTGAGTTTACAAACGCCAGTCTATAGCGCTAAATACTAGCAACGTGCAAAAACTAAAGTGAACATTTTTGATCCGAAGATGTTTGAGTGTCTTTTCATCTATTCAAATATAACCGAGTCGATCTCAATTGATTTACTACAAAACGTTGAATATTTGAAGAGCAAATGCCGGAATGCTGTTTTGCCTTTCATCTCTAATGTAATTATTTATCTACTGTTCTGTAGGTGCTGGAACCTTACTTGACGAAGACGAGCATACCCTCTATGGAGCTATACGGTCGGGAAGAGTAGCTCCACAAACAGTTGTTGATGATTGGATTGAACAATATAAAACAAATCGTGAACCAGCTATGTTGGAATTGATCCAATTCTTTATTTCATGCAGTGGTTGCAAAGGTGAAGTTCTGTGTATAATGTATATCATTGTTTAATATAATTTCTGTATACATTTTGTGTGGGGATGTTATGTTTCAAACTGGGGATAGTACGGTTGTGATATTAATGATCTAAGAGCGAATCTAACGCGAATTAATAAATTGAACAATGAGTACACAACCTCGCACAAATAAGAGGGGAAAGTTAGCATTTATAAACTATTTATTTTTCTTGGAAAGTAAATCACGTAAAAAACAACTTTGGATAATGCAATGATATGATGAAGGTTATCAGAATTCTCATCGCATTATCTTATTTTATCAAAGGGACTAACTGTTTTAAAAAACTGTTTAGAATTACTGACAAGACCTCAAAAAACCAATAAAATGGTTTGTTGAAATTGATAATTAACACTAAACAACCAATATGAGGTAGAAGAAATATACTTGTAAAATGTAGTATGAGTCAGGAATACTTAACTCTGTCATGTTTAACTGTCTTTTGAAGTCATTATTTTACGCTCTTTATAAATTCGACGCAGTCAATTAACTTGACCCACTTTTGTCACAGATAATAACTCCCGTTATTCAGAATAAAATCTAGAAATGTCCCACTATTCTGTCCAGACAATTTTCCTTTATATATATATACGAAACTAAATTAGAAAAATACATGGATATGCCCCATGAGTGGGAATTTTCTCTTATAATACTTTACGGATAGTAAAAATATCTTCAAGACCTAGCGGGAAAAAAGTATAACGAATAATAAAAACCTTCGTTGTGTAAATAGAATCGAAGCTTCATCCAAATATTGCCTCAAATTCCTATTGACCTCAACTACTATTTATGGGATGTGAGTCATCACTTCACTGACTTAGACGTTTAAGTTATGGATTTTAAATCACTTTATTCTTACTCGTTAAAGGTATAGTACTTAAAGATTAGAATATCTTTTTTCTTCATATAGGAAAAGTAACACCGGAAATGTATAGCCGCCTGTCACATGCCGATATTATTCGTCGAATGACTGAAGAGTTTGATGAAGACTCGGGTGAATATCCACTTATACAATCAAGCCCAGTTTGGAAACGCTTTCGTTCAAATTTTGTTGAATTCATCCAAGTATTAATTCGTCAATGTCAATATAGTATAATTTACGATCAATGCATGATTGATCAAGTGATCTCTTTATTGACAGGCCTTACTGACTCACAGGTAAGATATACTTCTCAGTAATTACCCATATACAGATGCAATTACTAAACAGTTGTTCTAATGATGGCATAAAAATTGGTAGTGTTGATAGAATTGTATTTTTGTTGTCAGTATTTGTAGCTTCTTAAGAAAAACATTACCTAAAATCATTTCCATTCGAGGTAAAATGTTGTAGTTACCTCTTGTGTGTACTTAATCGTCAGCCAACGTTGAATATGGATAAAGTTTTCTACTTTAACATTTCGTTTATAGGTTCGGGCGTTTAGACATACCAGTACATTGGCTGCTATGAAAATGATGACTGCTCTTGTTGATGTTGCGCTCAATGTTAGTATCAATAGAGATAACACACAACGTCAGTATGAAGCTGAAAGATCAAAAGTTCAGAACCGACGTGCTTCTGACAGACTTGAAGTGCTAATGCAACGTCGACAAGAATTAGAAGAGAATATGGAGGAAGTCAAAAATATGCTTGTATACATTTTCAAAGGTGTTTTCGTTCATCGATACAGGTAAATTTGAGTGTAGGGACTTTAGGTTTTATGGAGTGAACTATTTTATTCCTCTCGTTTTTTTCTTCATTAGAAACTTTAATAAAATGAAGTATCAGCATAAGTTCCAAAATATGTCACCTAAAAGTCGATAAATTAGATTTTATATTTAGAGTTAATTAATATAATCTGTTCTTGTGGCTTTGAATTACATCGTTTTGTCAGCATCATTCTGTATCAGTATTCCACCGAAATATGTTTGCTGTGGGTTAAAGTTAACAGTTCATTTGCATTATTTCTTACGTCTTGTAGGACCACCAATATTTTTGAATAAAGTAGGTACTTTACTGAATTAGTTTGTACAACCACTTCTACTACTGTCAATTTAGGTATGTAACAAGGCTCCAGGTGTGGTTCCCTAAGAAAACCTCCTGCTTCGGTTTGGGCACCCCGACAGTATCCCAGCCCTCACATAAACCGAATAATTTATGTGGCGCATATCTATTTGGTGCCGCCTTGTGCCAATGTTTACATGTTTAAATAAATAAAAAAAATAAAATGTTACATTGCTTGGATTTTCTGTAAAATCAAAAAACGTTATAACTAGGATAAGATGCGAAATCTTCCCATAATGTTAACCGACAAGTAAACGTATTACATGCTGTCTTAATTCAACTAGAGCTTTCCGTCATGTCTTAGTTATTACTAAATCGGAATAGACTAGTTTAATGCTGATGATGTAGTCCCTCGACTATATGTCAGCATTTTTCCAGAAACAGTTTGCTAGATATTTTTCCGTTTTTTAGACAATTCAACCTTGTGAACAGGTCTGACTTAATGTGTATATGCTATAATGTAGCGTTGATGATCTCAAACGTTTTGAAAGGTTTGTAATAACCCCAACTCTTAAAAATCTCACTTAGGGTTTCCTATTTTACAGGTCATTTTTGTTTGTTTGTTTTTAGGGATAGCCAGGCAGAAATACGAACAATATGCATGCAAGAAATCGGTGTCTGGATGCGTCGTTATCCAGCTATGTTTTTAGACGACAGTTACTTAAAGTATGTTGGTTGGACACTTTATGATAGAATTGGAGATGTTCGTCTTCAGTGTCTTCGCGCCTTACAGCCCTTGTATGAAGATCCTGCTCTCATCAATAGTCTGGAGCTTTTCACTTCTCGTTTTAAATCACGTCTTGTGGATATGACACTTGATAAAGAGACTGAAGTGGCAGTTCAAGCTGTAAAACTAGTCTCCTGTATATTGAAGTGAGTCTTAAAATCATATAGAACTATAATTTAACTTTATCCGTAACTGGTTATTTTCTCAAACAAGAGTATATCGTCTGTATATCCTAATTTTATTAAGAACCCACTGCTATCACACAACATTCTGTATTTTTTTCTCGTTTGACAGCCGTTGTGAACAGAATTACAAACTATTTAGGATTCTTTTAATATGGAACGTAATCTTTGCTGAATAGACCGAACGACTCATACACAGCACTTCAATAGTAATCCCTTACAGAGTTCGAATAAAACAAAGATAAGTCTTTTTAAGAAAGTATATTAATGAAAACCCCAAAGGAAAAGTTAATTTACACCTAAATTAATGAAGCTGCATTTCGATTAACTTCACTGGTTATCGACTGAGTAATCATCACTTGAGTGCAAAATAACAATGAATTAAGTAATTAACACAGTGAAAATGCTTTAAGATCGATTCGTTAACTTCGTAGTCAACTAATTAATCAAAGTGAAAAAGACATCGGAATTCAGTCAACGGTGTTCACATGTGAATTTTGAAACTGATTTCTTCCTAAATGTAGTATGTACGAAGTGATTAACAAATTCAAATACTTCACTCCATCATAGGAAAACTTGCTGAAGTAGATCAGTTCTGACGTAACATTTTATTTTGGACTGAGTGTTCAGAGGACTGTATTCGGTCAGAAACTCCTAGATACAATAGTAAATTGTTTGTCTACTTTATTTCGATCAGGAATTCTCCAAGTAGAAAATCAAACCCTAATTACTTACGCTTGTTGCACCTCATGGAGGAGCATAGGCCACCCACAAGCATTCTCCATCCAACTCTGTCCTAGACAATCCTTCCCAGTTTTTTCTAGTTGCTATTCTTTTTTTTCGTGTCTGCTTCCGATTTTCAACACTGTGTTCGTAGGTCTTCCGCTTTTTCGTTTCTCTTCAGGATTCCAAGTTCGCGCTTGCCTCGTGATGTTTGATTATTCCCTCAATGTGTGTCTCATCCACTTCCACCATCTTTCCTTAATTTCCCCTTCAACTGGAAGTTGATTGCTAATGGTGTCAGACCAACGAACACTGAATATTTTGTGTAGACAATTGTTTATAAATACTTGTAGCTTTTTGATGATCGTTGTGGTAATTCTCCAGGTTTCAGCTCCATACAGTAGAATTGTGTTGACGTTCGTATTGAAGATTGTGACTTTGATATTGGTTGCATATATTCTCCAACTGTAGGAATGCTGTCCTTGCCTTGTCAATCATCACCTTCACGTCTGCATCAGATCCTCCCTGTTCATCGATGATGCTACCCAGATACATGAGACGTTCCACATCTTCTAGAATTTCTCCATCAAGTATGATTGGATTGGTGTTCTCTGTGTTGTGTTTGAGGATATTTCTTTTTCATTTGTGTATGTTGAGGCCTATTGATGCTGATGCTCCTGTCACACTGGTTGTCTTGACCTGCATTTGTTGGTGTGCGTTTGTGTATGGGATAGAAGGGTCAGATCATCTGCGAAGTCCGTATCGTTTAGTTGATTCCGAGCTGTCCACTGCATTCCGTGCTTCCTGTCATACTTGGAGGTCTTCATAATCCAGCTAACCACCAGAAGAAAGAGAAAGGGTAAGTAGTCTTGTCAGACTCCGATCCTCACTTGGAATGCTTCTGTCAGCTATCCTTCATACACGGATAGGCAGTGTAATCCGTCGTATGAATTCTGGATGATGTTGACGACCTTTTCAGGTACATCATAGTATCGCAGAAGGTTCCATGAGGTTCTCCTATCCACACTATCAAATGCTCTCTCATAGTCAAGGAAGTTGATATATAGTTACGAGTTGCATTCAATTGATTGTTCAACAATGATCCGTAGCGTTGCGATTTGGTCTTTGAACGACCGATCCTTACGGAATCCTGAATGTTGATCTTGAAGCTGGACGTCTACTAAATCTTCCATCCGGTTCAACAACACTGCTGAAAACTTTCTGTGCTACCTATTGTAGTGCGCAATGGCGCAGGTGCATCCACTCTTTGTGTTCTCCCTAATTCTAATCTTCTGAATTCTTCATGTCCCTTTCTTTTTTCTCTTTCCAAATTTATTTCACTGGATTATACTTCTTGAATCACATCTTCAAACCCTAATTTTTCTGATTACAGCTTATAATTTTATTACATCTAGCACTACGGGATTTGAATCGACCACTGCATCTCTGTGCTAATGTGGTGTGACAACTCGAACTGATGTACGTACGTACGAAGTTCCATGTTGTTACTGACTGACTGATAGTGCGATGCCTCTGTAGTTCTCACATTTGCTCAAATCTTTGTTTGGTATCTTGTTAAGGTTTTCTTTTTTCCAGTCAATTGGCACTTGTTCTTCCTCCCAAAGCTCCCTGAATAGAATGTGGAGCAGGTTTACAGTTACTTCTGTGATTGACTTCAATGCTTCGGCTGATATATTTTCAGGCCCTGTTACTTTCTCACTCTTAACTTGTCTGATGGCCATCCTGTTTTCTTCGATCTTTGGTGGAGTGACATCTATAGGAAAGTGTATGTGTGCTGCTTCGATGCGCGGTGGATTCAAGGGAGCTGGTCAGTTCAAGAGTTCCTCGAAGAATTCTGTCCCTCTGTTCTTAAATTTCAGTGATTGTTTTGCCTTCCTTGTTCCTTACTGGTCGCTCTAGTTTAGTGTATTTCACTGCTAATTTCTTCGTTGTACCATATGGTTGTTCAATATTTCCTTCTGTTACAGATTTTTCCACTGTCGTTACTAGATCTACCACTTATTTCTTTTTGTTGGCTCTAATGCTGTTCTCCACTCACTTGTTTGCTTCTGTGTATTCAATTTGTCTCTTGACTTTCTCGGTTCTTATTCGACTAATGTTAATTGCTGTTTTCTTGTTCTTCCTTTCTTGTCTAGGGTTTCCATAGAGGTCCATTTCTTATGATGCTTGTTGCAGCCCAGCAGCTCCTAACACTTTGAAGTTGGTATTTTTTTTCATCCCTTTCGAATTGTCCTCCATAGTAGTTTCCTCTTTCAGTAGATCCTATAAGGCTTGGAACTTGTATTGAGAGTTATCTTGAATAAGTTGAGTTTGTCAGTATCTCGTAGGAAGGCTGTATTGAACCTTTTTCTAGTTGTCCAATGCTTCTTCACTTTCAGTTTCATCTTGGTTCTCATGTCTCTCATTGACCTGAATTTTTTACTGCTGCAAATATGATCCATCTGGTTCTCCGTGCTGTAGTCCGGTGAGACCCATGTAGCTTTGTGTATGACTTTGTGTGGGGAGTATCGTGCCGCCTTTGACCAGTTTGTTAAATGCACAAAGCTATGCAAATCACTCATTCCTGTTTTTTTCTCCTAGTCCATATCGTCCCATGATATCTTCATACCCAGAGTTGTCCATTCCGACTTTGGCGTTTACATCTCCCATCAGGATGATGAAGTCCGTCCATCCATACCCGAAGATAATTTTCACCTTATCTAGGATGCTGGAAATATCAGTCAGTCAGTCGGCCACAACGTTGGACCACGTAGATATATGCATCGGTCCTTGTTGCCATACCTAATTAGCACAACAAGATGAACTTCGGATTCATAGAAGTAGCTAATTCAATGGTGGTAATATATAAAAGAAAGATTGCAATAAGGTTATAGTACAGGAAGAAAGAATTAGTTCGTAGAAAGAAAGATATGAAGCGATTTTAACCTTATCGTTTAAAGGGAAAATAGAAAGTGTATACACCTACGCCATCGTGATCGATTCCAAGCCATATCACCAAGAGTCTTCAACCGTTGGTTACGATAGTCACGCGGACCCCAACCAAGTAGTTTGCATCTACTAACATGTCTCAGATTAGAAGTTAGTGACTTCAGTAACTGATGCCATATTTTGGTTTGGCCACCCTCAACTTTCTTCCAAGCATCCTCAACACTAGTCAGCATTGCGCGTCATGGTAATCGGTGTTTAGGTATACGTAACATGTGACCCAACTATCTCAGTCGATGAAGATTCACAACCTCATCAACTGATTTACCGTCATTCTCTAATACCCTGCGTCTAACCTCATTATTACTTACCCGGTGATCCCGATACTGGAATGGGATATGACTTTGTCATGTTTAGATAACCTTCATACATCTCACCCTACGCTCATATATAGTTTTAACAGCTGATAGTAAACCTTCGCCTATGTATTTTTCATACATGTGATAATCGTCAATACCTACTTCAAGATTAGTTTTCGAGTTGGGTGATATTTTAGCAGTCTAGCACATCACACATCGATAACTGAGTGAGATCAAACGGTCCAAATCTTTTTTTCGGACTTATAATTAAAGAAGATTGTCCCCAATACTAAGTAGATCATCCTTTTTGGTTATAGTTAACATTTACCAAGTTCTGTGGCACTGAATCTCTCCTCACTTATCTGAAATCATTAAGCCATACTAACCCCATGCATTCTCCAACCAAGGAGAGCGGTGGTTTTGTAGTTAAGTCGTCCGTCTTTTAATCATTGTTTCCCAGGTTACAGCTCCACCTCACCTACTTGAGTCTGGGCTACGAAGTGGTATCATTAGCCCTAACAATTAGTGTGGTTTATATTGATATCTCTAGTGAGTGAGTTTATTTTTTAAAAGGGTTATCACGCAAATGCATTCATGTTTTTAATTCATAGATCTTATAAGAAAATCCTGTTATCTGCGTATTACACCCGGTATCTCAGTTTTTACACATAATTCTCTGTCATCACTTCAACCTTATTACTTTCAATTTATCCACTAGTTTCTTTTTGTAATGTTTTTATTTACAATCGGGAACAATGCATTGTGTTACTAGATTAGTTAGTTTTCTCCCATCAAAAGTATCATATTGTTTATTTATCTGTCTCGTCTATTTGTTTCTTAGGCATAGTGACTCAGTACTTGAAGACAAGGATTGTGAAAATATATATGAGTTGGTTTATTGCACTCACAGGCCTTTGGCACAAGCAGCTGGTGAATTTTTAACTTTAAAACTTTTTGAAGTTGATTCCCATGCTCCTCCCACTAGAACCAGAAAAGGTAAAAAACGTAGCGAAAATACACCACTCATTCGTGACCTCGTGCAATTTTTCATCGAGAGTGAAGTACGTTTGAAAAAAGCAACACCAGTTTTCCTAGTTTTTATTTATAGTCAACTTACAAATTGCTTAAAGTCGTACTTTTAAAGTAAAAATTTCTTACAATGAATTCGTGTTTCCTTTTGAGTAATATTTATATTTTATTTGAAGTAACTAACTGATAATCTGGATTTTCATAGGTAATCACATTTAGAGCGTACTTGAACGTCATTAAATATCAACATTCTAGGCGTTAAATGATTTAAACGAATAACACATTGATGGATTTCAATGGTAAAATACTCAGATGAATGGATTATTCGGTTTTAATAAAATCTCATCAGGCTAGCTTATGATTTAAGTGCAATTAGGTTAAGACGATTGATATGTCGGTAGATTGGTTGAGACCTTAATATTCCATATAAACAATTCTGTCAAGAAAGAAAATTATTTCTTTAATAATAAAGAATTCAGAGTTGTTTCAAATATCAGTTATTAAGTTAAATTAACACCATTATATTTATTTAAATAAGAGATATATGAATGTGTTTCCTCAGTTAAAAGTGGTGATTTCTCATTTTCGTCCACTTACCTGTTTTGCCTCATCGTTTTTAATCAGGTTGGTAATTTATGTAACTGATAATTCATCTTAATTCATTTTAGTTACATGAACATGCTACTTATTTGGTCGATAGTTTATGGGATTTATGTCCAATGCTTCGTGATTGGGAAGCTATGCTAGATTTGCTTCTTGAAGAACCAGGTAGAGGTGAGGAACCTATGGATGCAAATCAAGAAACAAGTTTGATCGAAATTATGGTTTGTTGTGTTCGTCAAGCAGCAACGGGGGAATCACCAGTAGGACGACAGGTTAGTCACTTCCAAGTATGTTTTTTCTGTTGATTTTTATTTTATTTATTATATACTACGAAACATTGTGTGAATAAGCATGAATTCAGTCTATAGCAATTTATAAATTATTCATTGTGTGCAGACTGGTGGCCATCATTCACATTCCAATACCAACTTACTGACTGGCATGAGTTTACTGGAGACTGGTGGACGCGGTCGAGGTGGTGCAACTACCGGTACAGGGAACAGCGCTGCACCCTCTTCACGTGAAGCTCGTGCCCTGGCCGAAGAACGTAGTCGTATGACAGAAGCAATGATAACTGCTATACCAGCACTCCTTGCTAAGTATGGTGAATCTCCTGAACGAGCTACAAACCTTCTTGCTATTCCACGACACATGGAAATGGAACTCTACACTACGGGCCGACATGAAAGACATTTGGATCTTCTTCTACAAGCTGTTCAGGTACGTTCACGTTAATCTTAATAGTTCATCTCGTTTGTGTTTATTCATTGCAATGCCATCTGCACACTTAAGTTTTAACGTCTTTCTTGATTTTGATCTCCATATCCACATGAGTAATTAGCAATAAATATGATGTTTAACGAAAAATGTTCCACTGTTGGATTTCACACGTATAATTTTCTCTACTGGCTTAAAAACAAATCAAATATTTCTCATACTTTTCAGGTTCACTATTACTTGGATCTCGTATCTTATCAAGTAGTGAAATTAATCATTCATCAAGTTTGTATACTCGGTTTTAGCGAGACAACTATTCCCGTTGTTCCCTTGCTCAAGCCTATATGAATCGAGACTAAGACCCTCAATCATGATCGAAAGTCGATTGATTTTGCAACCATGCTAAGTTTTTTCAAGGTTAATTCAATAAAACTAAGTCGTACATCAATATTAGATTTATCAACATCATAGTCACTCCTCTTTCATTTCACGACTACATACTCTTCACAATTGGCATAAGTCTTTTGAAACCAATACAATGCTGATTGATTACATTCACCACTTAAACAGCATTGTAAAAATCAGTATAAGGCAAGACTTATTTATTCTGTCAGCTACGGGATTTTCGTCATGTATTTATTACACGCTACAATTGTTAAGTAGTGATGTGTTGCGTGCTACTTATATTGATATAAGTAGTATATAACGTGAGTCAAAAGAACGTAATGGCTGGGAGCAGATGATGGAGAAGATCAAGAAAAGAAGAGCGAGAAAACAATGGAATTTGTAAGAAATCGCATGAGCAATAAAATGCGAGACAATGGATTGATGTTTGCAACAGCAACAGCAACAGCCCGGTTTGATATGATAGAATGATATTTTGCAAATTAACGATTTACTATATGGTTTTTCTATTTTACCAAGTAATTCTGTAATTTGTCCTAAATACAATTTGGCTGTCCTCACCCGTGTTCTTCTTCACTACATTTGGTGTCGCTGCCTCCACTGAGGATGAAGATCCCATGGCCGAAGGAGTTTGAGGACGGAGATGTGCTGAGCTTCCTGAAGGAGTTTGAGGCCGTGGCGGAGCTGGTGGGAGTGAAGGAGCCGAGGGCGAAGTTGGTGGTGCTGGGGACGCTGCTGAGAGGCAGGGCGAAGGCGGTGTATGACAGCCTGGACGGTGCTGGCGGGAAGACCACATGGGAGGCAGTCACGGAGCGGTTGGCGGCGGAGTTTGACAGCCCAGTGGACAGAGAGGACGCGCTGCAGAAGTTCCGGTTGGCGAGGTTGCCGGTCGATGGGGACCCACTGGTGCTGGCTGTGGAGCTTACCAGATTGTTACGTCGTGCGCTGCCGAGTCTGGATGAGGAGTCGGAGGCACAGTTGTTGGCGTCACAGTTTATCGAGAGTGTGCCTGCCACCGTCTCCCAACAGCTGAAACTGGTGAAGGCAGCGCAACCGATGGATATCAGTGAACTAGCGAAGGTGACTCGTCAGCTGATGACGCGAACAGTAGCTCCGGTCGGGTGCGGAAAGCAGGAGATGAGTAATGTCGAGAAGAAGATTGAGGAGCTGGAGCGCGAGATTGCAGCAATACGAGTGAACAACAAAAGGAACGATAAATGTTACGCTTGTGGAGGGACAGGACATTGGAAGATAAACTGTCCAACAAGACGAAGACGCAGATATGTTAGACGTTACAACAAGTGTTCTTTCTATCCTAGGAATCTGGGGATTGTTGCGTTAGTAGACAGAGGGGCAGTATATACGAGAGTGAACATAAATGAGCGAGATTTAGTTTGTCTGATCGATACAGGTGCAGCAGTATCGTTAATAGGCAAAGAGCAATGTAAGAGAATCAAGCCGTGTACATTAGCTGTCCATACGATAGGGGGCCATATGTTAGAGGTGTTTGGTGTATCTAACAGTATCGTAAAAGTGGGGGATGCGGAGATAAATTTTCCGTCCGTCGTAACCACAAGCTTATCGAGACCGATATTAGGAGCAGATTTCCTAAGAGAAGTAAAAGCGATAGTTGACTTAAGAAGCGGTAAGGTGGTCACGAAATATGGTTCATTGACAATACACGAAAGTAGCGAAGTGGCTGAAATAAGAGTTGCAGCGGATGTCTCGTCAAAGAAACCAAACATTCACGAGTTATGCAAAAAGTATGCGAAACTATTCACTGGACAGGGGGAGCCGTATGGATTTTGTGACAGAGTAAAGCACGAAATACCGATAAAGAACAGTCGAGTAAATATATTTGCAACACGTCGTGTCCCGGTGCATTTAGAGGCCGAGGTAAATCGTCAGGTCCAGGAAATGTTAAAAGAAGGTATAATTGAGGAAGCGGACAGCCCATATAGCTCGCCGGTACTCTTGGTAAAGAAACCAAATGGAAAGTATAGATTTTGTGTCGACTTCAGAGAATTGAATAATATAACAGACCTGAAGCCTTGTGCAATGCCAACAGTGGTGGAAACATTAGATCGGCTACAGAATGCCACGGTGTTTACAGTGCTGGATTTACGGTCAGGTTATTGGCAACTGCCTATAAAAGAGAGTGATCGGAGCAAGACAGCGTTTACTGTACGGGATAAACAGTATCAATTTAAACGAATGCCGTTCGGGTTTGCGGGAAGTTGGCGCGATGGATGATACGCCTGCAAGAATACGATTTCAGTATCGGCCATGTTCCAGGAAAAGAAAACGTAATGGCAGATTACTTGTCAAGACCAGATATGGAAGCCGACCTGCCATTAACAGCATACGCGGTGAATAGTTTAGAGGGAGACCCATTAGAACTCGTCCGGCAGCAGAAAGCTGACCCTAACCTTCGAGAGGTAATCAGAGTGATAAAAGAGGGAGCAGACGTAGATAAACGAACAATGGACAAGGAGGTAATAACGCTGCTTCGGCAAAAGGACCGACTGAGAGTGAACTCATATGGAGTGCTGACCTGGCAGGACGATGATGAAAATTGGGTCGCGGTGATCCCGAAAGACTGGCGGCGTAAAGTGATACACGAGTGTCACCAGGTAGCACATACAGGCATCGCAAGAACGACGGACTTACTACGACAAAGTGCATACTGGCCGAGCATGAGAGACGATGTGGCTGAATACGTGTTAACCTGCCAGCAGTGTCAGCTAATGAAAAGCGATCGATACACACAACCGCCATTACAGTCAATCCCAGTAACCGTAGTCGGTGATCTATGGTCGGTTGATGTGATGGGACCGTTTCCACAGACGGCGAGCGGTAACCAGTATCTGTTAGTGATGACGGAACATGCCACACGTTGGGTAGATGCCGTACCCATTGCAGACCAGCGGGCAAGGACAGTGACCGAGGTGGTAATCCGGCATATTGTAGCGTGTCACGGAATACCGAAGATGATATTAACTGACCAGGGTCCGTGTTTTGAAAGTGACGAGTTTAAAGCCCGTTTAAAGCAGTTTGGCATCAAGAGAATACGAACTACACCATATCATCCTCAGACAAACGGGCTTACAGAGAGAAACAATCGGACGTTAAAGGAATGGCTAGCATCAAAAGGAGGAAATTGGGAGAAAGAGTTACCATTGATTTTGCTGGCACATCGTTCCTCAACACAAGGAACAACCAAGAAGTCACCTTTCTTGCTCATGTATGGCAGACAACCACGACTTCCAATGCATAATAAGACCTGGCCACAACAACAGAAGTGGACGACAACAAGGTTAAGAAAAGAGAGGAGAGAGGCAATAAGGAACGTGGAAAAGAAACAAATATCAGACACAAAGAAGGCAGAACAACAGAGGAGAACGTGGAAACCCTTTGCAGTGGGGGACCTAGTAAAGTGTAGAGAACGAAAAAGTAACATAGCAGGGGGAGCAGGTTCGGGGAAGCTGGCCCCAAAATGGGAAGGACCGTATGTAATCACGGAGAGACGCGGCTCGGTCTACACGATCCGGAGAGAAGACAAGCAGAAGCGCGTAAATGCTAGTCAACTACAGAGATGGTTTCAAGATCATCATGGGTGTGAATCACGAAAAGCACCAAAGAACACAGCGGTACGGAGATCAGAAAGACTACGACAGCAACTTGTTAAAAGGGGGGACGAGTGTGGTGCGTGCTACTTATATTGATATAAGTAGTATATAACGTGAGTCAAAAGAACGTAATGGCTGGGAGCAGATGATGGAGAAGATCAAGAAAAGAAGAGCGAGAAAACAATGGAATTTGTAAGAAATCGCATGAGCAATAAAATGCGAGACAATGGATTGATGTTTGCAACAGCAACAGCAACAGCCCGGTTTGATATGATAGAATGATATTTTGCAAATTAACGATTTACTATATGGTTTTTCTATTTTACCAAGTAATTCTGTAATTTGTCCTAAATACAATTTGGCTGTCCTCACCCGTGTTCTTCTTCACTACAGTGATCTGTAGTTATCTCACATTGATAAATTTTTAATTAATGTAGTTTCATCACTGGAAATGTAAGCATTCCTGATTATTGTATAATAATTTTGTAACTACATTCACTTACTAGTTTTTGCTAAACGCAACTTAGAAAGTTCAGAGTACTAAGCAATTGCATTTATTAATCTAACAGTGCATTGTTTGGGAATTTTTATCTAATGTTTAGTCAAAAGTACTTATTAGAAAACATTTCTCATTTTCAGGATATTGTAGAACGTCATACTGATCCACACACATTATTGGCTTGTTCGCGCGTTTACGAATCGTTGTGTATTGATGAATTAAGCATTTCTGCAAAGTGTCAAACTGTCCGTGGCACGCTGTTGGATCGTTTGGTGGATCTTTATCGGGATGCATTCTTAAACTACTTTAACGATCAGGTTAATTTTCGTACAAAAATTCTTATTGTTATGCCGTAAACTTTGGGTATTTTTTTGTTATCATATGTTTAGATAAAAAAGAGACGTTCATAAAGAATGTTCGTATAAGCATAAGTATTCTAAAACCCAGTTTTATTATTGGGCTAGCAATATTGTTACGTTTACTAGCCATTGCACTTGGTTTTGTGATTTCATAGACACTTCTGGCTTTCATGTCAAGTACTTTACAAATATATTTTGTTGTTACAACTTTTATAGACTATCGACGATGCTTTGACTCGATTTTAGTACATACGCCACTGCTGCTAATATATGTTTGCTCATATCCACTCACGTACATCTTGTTGGATCTTAAATCTTGAATCGATTATAAGTGTAAATTACGAAAAATACACTAAGGCTTCTGATTCTGTATATCTCAATTCTATGTTTAGCAGCTTATTAACTGGAATACTTAACATATTTGTGTCCTTTTATTTTTATTTTATCCCCCAAAATAAATGTCACCCATTTATGTTAGTTATATCTTTCCACCTTTTAGGGAGAGGAACCCGATCAGGATGATGAGTTTCACTTACTAGCTGCATTGAAACGAATCTATGCGTTTTACGCGTGAGTCATAAATTTATTATTCCTTTGTAAACATGATTCTGTTATATTTACCAAAAGTGGACAGCTATAAATAAAGTTCTTACTGTCAAATATAGTTAATTTATTGGGCCTCAGAAATAACAGTTCACCATTTAAAATCATTGAAATGTTTTTTTTTATTAATATTATTTGTTCGCAACGATTAGAGAAAATTAACTTTCCATTATATACCAAAGATTGTTGTTGTGACATCAGAAATAACAAAAAACCAATTATCAACCCATAAATACCAATTGCGGATTAGTAATTAACATTTTGTCATCTGTGTAGAGCTACATGAGCATCACAACATATGTGATTTCACTGCGTTTTTTTAGTCATGCTATTTAGCTCTTGGAACAACAACTTAATTTAGATAAGCTGGTATTTTTATTCATATGGATGGTTTATAAAGTGCCAGTTCTTAATCTAACCTACCTTCTTAACTTGTCTCACATCACAGTTGTGAATCTATTAAGATGGGTTTAGTTAACTGGGTATGATTTCCCAAACAGTGTTCACTAAAATTGTGATCAAGTTAAAGAATTTTACTCTTATGATATCGGTTGAATTTTTAGGGCTTTCAAGTAATACAAGGTCTGTTCAGCAAAATGGTTTTTCCAGGGATTTTGGCAACATATATTTATGAGCGTATAAACTTAATACTTAGTCGTGTATCCATCTTTGAACCACACATTTTCTTGTGCAAGCTAGTGATATCACGATTTCCAGTAAAGTGGGCTTAATGTGTCAACTCAACGTTTTATTTAAGCCACTCGCGATTACTGGTTGAGAATCTTTGTAGATAATTGTGACCTCTTTCATTCAGTAATATATGATGTCTGATAATACTGTAAATTATCCTTGACGTTATTTAATCAGATGAATTTTACAAGAAACTTGTGTTTAGCTGTCTTTGAAATCAACATTTTTGTGTCATCTACAGTAATGAGCTTAATTATTCAATCATAATCGTCGTTGTGTAATTATCATAGAATTCTGAAGTATCGTACTTACTGCTGCAATATTTCGTAAACAGTTATTTGACCTCAACGTTTCCTGACCTTGAGAAAATTGTCATAACTAAGTGAAATGGTGCAGTCTGTGTGTTATCAATCCTAAAATGCTATAAACGCTATCCTTCACACAATATTTATTTTCAGTTAACTGAGTTCTTGATTGCTGGACATTCGTTTTCATTCTTTTTATATTAAAATTAATTTCTTATTTCTTTATACTTCATATTTCATCACACAACATTGCCATTACACAAAACTAGTTCAGAATTTCGACGTTAATCAAATTCATTGTAAATAATCTTTTCGTAGTAAACCACAATCTAATATGTAGCACAATTTATCTAAAGTTAACATTTGGAGTTACTTTTTTCCTTTGAAATGCTGTTATATGAAACAGTAAGAACGTATTGTAAGATTTTAGAAGTCTGAAACGGCTAACCATTTTTGTGAAATTTACCGGAAAATCTTTGTGGTATTTTCATTCGGAGATACTTTAGTCGTAACCGACAGCTTATATTTATCCGGAAATTTTCATACTGCTTTTATTTTTCGCATAATTTTAGTTGTCACGATCTTTCTGGATTGGATTTATGGGATAGTCTTATCAGGATCGCACAATCCGGAAATGATGCCAACGGTGAAATTGTGGCTCAGGCTGTTAGCTGTTGCTCTAAAGCTCTACTGTGGAATCTTGCTAGAATAGGAGAGGCTGATGTCGACAAAGTAAGTTTAGATTCTTCCTATTTCTCTTGTTCATTTCATTACAGTATTTTAACGTGTTTTTTACCTGGTATTGTGCAGAATAGTGCCTTAGTTTAACGTTGATCTCTTGTGTTGTTTTTTCGAGGGAGGGGAGATAACTCTGAATTGCAGTTTTTGTTTGAAGAGGCGAATAAAGTTTGAAGTTAACCAACGTCAAACTGATTTATTTCTTGTATTCTATTTCTGTTCAGGAAAGTTGTTTTCAGAGTGACTTTTCATAACCATTCACTCTTTATACAGTCCCCGCGCGTACAGACTTCCATCTACTATCTTCATTCAAAGCACATATTTGAAGTTATACTTCGTTATCATCTTCCTTGATAATTATGTCTATGGGAATTCGTTTGATTCGCAGCTACCTTTAGATTTATTAGTTGTGACTCCCCAAGTGCAATTGCTAGTAATTGTCCATCTCTACCTTTTTTATTGATATTTGTGTTGCATTGTTTCTGTTTGCAGACGGATTTGAACAAACTAAGAAGACAGTTAAATCTGTATATGGACGTATGTATTGGCTACCTAGATCATTCATGCAAACGGTTAGCATCAGAATCGTTTCTGTCCATTTGTGATTTGCTAGTTGTTTTTTCACGTCATCTTTCCGTTCACTTGCCAAATCTGAAATCTATCATTTATACAGCCGACAGGGATCTAGAACTCAAGTTGACCAATTTTCTGGAGCAACGGGTTTTCGTTGATGATGACGACGTAAGTTTCTAATATTATATCTAGGTTTCTGTACCGTTTCTTTCTAAATTCAGATCTCTATACCATCAATTTATGTATTACTTGTTTTGTAGCTATAGTTATCTGCGAATTGTATACTAAGAAAGGACAAAAGTCCTCTTGTGACAATCACAGAGGAATCAGTTTGACTAATATAGTGTCTAAAATATTGGCCTCAATAATACTTCGACGCCTAACTAAAGCTCGTGAAGAGCAGACTAGAGAAAACCAGGCTGGTTTTCGACCTGGACGTGGTTGTATAGATCAGATATTCACACTACGTCAGGTTCTAGAACAGAGACACACATTCAGACGCCCCACAATGGTAGTATTTCTCGACCTTAAGGCGGCATTCGACTCCGTTGATCGTGAGGTTCTATGGCAGTGTTTGTCACTGAAAGGAGTACCAAAGAAGTACATTAACCTTATAAAGGCTCTCTACTCGAACACAACTGGTAGAGTGAGAGCTTATGGCGAACTGTCATCAGAATTGATCACCTCAAGTGGTGTTCGTCAGGGCTGTCCACTCTCCCCATTCTTGTTCAACTTTGTCATTGACGTACTTTTAGAGATAACACTCTCCTCATCTAAATTTACAGGGGTTGAACTTCTACCAGGAGGTTCACTTGTTGACTTAGAATATGCAGATGACATAGTTTTATTTGGTGAAGACGCTGAAAAAATGCAGAGTCTTCTGACCACTCCAAGCAACAATGCAAGCATGTTCGGGATGCGATTCTCTCCATCGAAATCCAAAATGTTGCTTCACGATTGGGCTGCATCGACACCGAACTAATGATAGGGAGTGAAGTAGTTGATCGTGTCGACCACTACACTTATCTTGGAAGTCTCATCAGCCCTTGTGGTCTGGTGTGTGACGAAATATCAGCACGGATACAGAAGGATCGACTAGTTTTCGCCAACTTGCGTCATTTATGGCGTAGGCGAGATATCTGTCTATCAACCAAAGGACGTGTTTACTGCGCAGCAGTTCGTCCCGTCCTACTTTATGGCAGTGAAACATGGCCGGTAAGGGTATAGGATATTCGTAGGTTACTAGTATTCGATCATAGGTGTCTTCGAAACATTGCTCGTATATCATGGGACCATCGAGTGAGTAACACAATTGTTAGGAAACGGGTACTAGGTAAGGATGGCAAATCAATTGGTGAGGTAGTGAAACTTGATCAGTTGAGATGGCTGGGACACGTGTTACGTATGCCCAACGACCGACTGCCTCGACGTGCGATGTTCACTAGTGTAGGAGTAGGTTGGAAGAAAGCTAGGGGCGGCCAAACCAAAACATGGCACAATTCCATGAAGTCACTGACAAGTGAACTGAGTCATGTTGGTAGGTGTAGACTACCTGGTTGGGGACCGCGAGATGACAGCAACCGATGGTTAGAGACCCTGAATGACATGGCTCAAAATCGTTCGCAATGGCGCAGGTGCATCCACTCTTTGTGTTCTCCCAAATTTTGATCTTCTTATTCCTCCTTGTCTCTTTTTCTCTTTCCAAATTTATTTCACTGTATTATACTCTTTAAATAACATCTCCAAACCCTAATTTTTCTGATTACAGCTTATAATTTCATTACATCTAGCACTACGGGATTTGAATCGACCACTGCATCTCTGTGCTAATGTGGTGTGACAACTCGAACTGATGTACGTACGTACGAAGTTCTACGTTGTTACTGACTGACTGACTGATATTAAAATGTGGTATGGTGGAATAATAGTAAAAGCATATAAGTTCCAACCATTAAGTTCCAGGTTCGAACCCCGCTACACCTTCGGTTTTAGCAACTGGGTATTATCATTAGTCCTCACAATTAGAGCGTGGTTCATATCCGAGTAAATGCAAGATGAGTTTATTTAAGTTTTTTTGTTTACTGAAATATTAAAATATACTATCAAGTTCATCATCTTAATGAGATCGTTTATTCCAATGGTTTATCTTTCTGTAATAATATTCGACTTTCAAAATATGTAAATATTCATACTTATTGTTACCAATAAATATTGATAAAAATTTAGAAAAGCTTCGCCTGTCAGAATCGTGGTTATAATTTCTCTACCCCACAATGGCTATCTCAGCTATCGCCTAACGTCCTCAGACTCAATCAATTATATAACAATCGTATAGCGATAGTTGTTAGATGTAACACAAGCCTACAATACAAGAAACAGAAATACAAATAATAATCATTTGTAAAATTTTCCCAAAAGTCCCAATGTCTTTAATATTCACTCCATTGTAACACATCACCCTGGATAATTTATACCGTCATGATATAGAATGAGTTGATTTTATTCATTTGTATTACATAGATAATTTTAAAACAGGGATGTATGTTTATAGGATATCCCTAATTTAAATGATTCCTACCACTTTTCAATAGTTGAATTTTAATTAAAACATGTAATTGTTTTATTTTTATCATAGGAAGAGGATGATGAAAATGTCAAATTTGAATCGCTTCACGAAAGGCGTACACAGCTAGCTGCATTTTTTAAACTAGTAATATATAATTTGATTCCTATACGAGCAGCTGCTCCGATCTACAAATATTACATTCGGTCTTTCAATGATTTTGGTGATATTATGAAATCTACACTGGCCAAAGCTCGTGAAATCAACCGCGTGCACACCGCTCGTATGATTGCGCATTGTTTAGAATTATGTTATCTACAAGTAGAATCAGCTTCTAATGTAAGTTGACATAGTGTTTATTCCCATTTGGACTGCTTACCTTTCCTTTTGTTTCTTCAAACGAGATTCGTAAATTTATGTTATTATGCTAGTAGGTGCCATGTTTTGTTCTGATCTAAAGAGTGCGATTGCTCTGCATTTACATGTCCCTAAACAAAAACTATTGGAAATAGTTTTTGTATCTAACTGCATCATATTTTTGTACTTTTTGTATCTTCTGTTGGGCATAACTACACGTCAGTTTAAGCGACACAGAAACCCTTTTGCTGTATTTCAGCAGATTTTGGGTACATTTATTCAATAACCTAAAATTTGATTCACAGAAAAAGGAAAGGTGAGTAAATAAAAATATGTGCTACATACTTAAAAATATTCATATGTTATCTAGGTTTTGGAGAATGAGAATTGAAGGATAATACTATGTTTAGGACATGCAGAAAGAAAAGGAATAGAGTGACTCTGACCAGTCAGCTACAACGTAGGACCAGGCTCATATGTGCATCGGTCCAAGTTGCCATACCTCATTAGCACAACAAAATGAACACCGGACTCATAGAAGTGGTTAATCCAGTGATGGACTCTGTTATGTTGCAACCATTTTATTTTTCGTCACCCAGAATCTTTAAGCATAAATTGCGATTATCTTACGGGGGCTCTAAACTACACTTCCTTGAATTACTGATTGCTGTCCTTTTTTCGGCTTGTTACTAGCCTTTTCCCAGTTTATTCCTACTTATATACAACACTACAGGGCTAAAAAGGCAATGGCTGAACAAACATTACACATCTGAACCGTTCTTACCAATAAAGGTTCACCATTTCTACCAGACGTCTTGACCTATTCGGTCGCCCCACTGTACGCTAAATGTTTTTGAAAAAAGTCTCATAATCAAATGCCCGTAACACTAACTTTTTTTGAATAAACCGAATAAGGCTTAAGATTGTATCCGGTGCATTACAGAATTCCTGTCGTGAAAAGAAATTTGTATGTCATGCATTCCTGTCTGTATTCGATTTTATAATGAATTGATGAGTTGTTTGTTTTCTCGCTTTCAGAATTGTGTTGAACGTGGTTCTGAAGGTCTTCAAGCTGTAAAGGAACTTGCTAGGCGTCTGAATCTCAGTTTCGGTCTCGACCTAATTAAAATACGAGAATCTATGGTTGCCTTTCACTCCGAAGGGATACAGTTTTGTGTTTCCCGAGCTGCTTCCACAGCTGCTGCAACAGGTCAAACCCCTGGTGTCCCAAGCAATTTACTTTTCCTTGAAGTTGTCGCTGAATTCTCAAACAAACTTCTCAGACAAGATAAGAAAAGCATATATGAATATCTCCGTCGAGTAAGTTTCAAGAGTTGCTTCGTAACTCAGTTATGCCAAGTATTTCTCGTTGCGAAAATGATGATGTGTGTTAAACTACGTTTTATCATGATTGATTATTAGAGTACTTGAACACTCAATATTTACATTTAACCACTAATAATGATGTGACTGATCAGAACTGAGAATAATGATCTAGTTCTTAGTTTCATTTGATAGCAATTAACCTACAACACCTGAATCTTATGGTTTATTTTTTTAATATCATGTATATAAGTAGATGTAAGTTTGTAGCTGAAGCTAGATCAGAACACACTTTGCGAACGATTTTTTTCAGTTAATCGGTCGTAAACGGATAGCTGACACAAATACGCATTCTCTGGATACTGTTTCTTTCGTAGCTACAGATGATTATTTCTCTTATTCGTAGTCCCTTAACAGAGTAGAAAGTTTGACGTGTATCCAGTAATCTGAATGTTTTTATCACAGTAAATTGGGCTTTTGACTTGTCTTTTATTTCTCTATACTTTTTTTTAAATTTCCATCTTTTGTGATTAGATTTTCCCAAATCCTGTTGGCAATGAATGGGCCAGTCTGCATGCCTATCGATCAAGTCTGGATCCTGACAACACTGATAATGCTCCAGGACATGATGGAGTTGGTCATGCTACAAATCCTCAAGCTGTCAGCAGTTCCAATCCTGCTCCAGTACAAGGTAACACGGTGGTACCAACAAGTGGACGTGTAGGATATGGGGGTAGGGGGCGCGGCAAACGACTCCGAGATTCTGACTCCTCTCTTCGTAAGCAATAAATTATTTTATCCTTATGTAGTCAAAGTTTTGCCATCTTCCTATAGTTATATTATATGTTGAGAAAAGTTTAGTTTTATCAGTTAAGAAAACCTACAAATCTAGATGCTGAGAATTCGTATTACAGACAACCACTAAATCACTTGCTAAAAGCTTTACTAGTACTGCTTAGGGAAACTTTGTTACGTAGTAACAGGTTTCCAGCACATAAACTCATGTGTGTGCTCGCCATGTAACTTAATTAACACGAAAATTTAAAAATGTGTTTTTCTGATCGTTCTTTGTGACTATATTATGTAGATTTGACAGTTCAATCAATACTGATCAAATGATTGTAAATCAGTTAACGGGATTGAACAATGATGCAATATGATGCATTTAGATGATTTAGTTATAAATGTTTAAGAAAATATATCTTAAATAAATTAAAACAAATGAACATATGACGTAATTAGCTAAAGAGTCAGAAATTTGTGTTAAGTAATCAAATCAATTTACGGATTACATAGATTGTAATTGTAAAGAATGAGATAAGTTGTCTAGTCTTTGTAAATACTTAATAAGATGAATAGAATAACTGATAAATGTTTTGATGAACACTAATCATGTAAGTATAGATTTAAATAATGGAAAACAGTTGAACTACATCCAGTATAATTTCAGGGGTCATTTGATAGAATAAATAGACATTTTATGAACGCGTAACCCCTAGTTTTCTCATCATTTGTTTTTTTTGTTGTGCACAAAAAGATGGAATCATGGAAGTTCTGTCCTCTTTTGCCAATATCTCTTTAACTAGTGTACTTCACTTGACTCAGTTGATCATTAAAATAATTAAGATTCAACATGTAGAATAAAGACGACTGCCGAAATAAATATGTGGAGCCGTCGCTTTAGTCACTAAAATACAGTATTCAAATATCAAGTTCCACATTACAATCTTACTTCACTTGGTTCATTTTTAGTCTCCACTTTTTATTGCTATCCGTTGCACAAAATAATAATAAGTCGAAACTAATTATACAAACTTATGTTCGATATCAACTTATATCAACTAAAAACAAGTGTATAGCAATAAAACCACGCACTTATAGCGAAGTTACATAGTGATCTTGAAGGATTTATGGATAATTTAGCAGCTGTGATTGGATGGATGAAAGGAATATGCAGATCGTTTGCTCACCTAACTAATCTGATTTATCATCTTCCAGTCCTCATAGCGTTGGGGTTGGTAAGTTAGATGGAATTCTTCGCATCGATATACTGCCCCGTGTTTATTAAATGTTTTTTTAATCGTTCTGTCTGTCTTTCGATGAACCAAGTGAAGTGATTAGAAACCCAAATACCATACAGTGCCTGAATGGGCATCCAGTAAAACTAATTCTGTCAAAGCTGATAAAGTGAGGTGACAAATTCTGACTGCATTGGTTAGGAAACAAGAATCATAACTCTATTGTATTGGGCTTTTTCTAGACGTAATGGCACGTTTTTTTTGTCTCAAAAATTTGAACGATGTGTTGTTGTTAAATAGCCTACATAGCTCTGTTTATGGAACAAGAACGTGTAACCGGACTTTTCCTGCTTCAGTTAATAATCAAATGTCGGATTATACTTTCGGATATCGTTTCCAAATTTTATCTGTGTATCGCACTTTTACTTTCACTGTTTGTCAATTGTCCTTGTATACTATGTTTATCTTTTCTAATCGTTATTTTATAATATATAGCCGACGCAAATTTAAATCCACAGTCCACAAGTACAGCTATCAAAAAGAAGCGCACCAATATCGCGAGTAGTAGCAAAAATGCATCTGGAAATGTTTCTAGTATGACTGCAGTTGACCCTTCCCGACCTACATCACCTTCAGAAATACCCCCCAACAGTGCAGGATGTGCACCTCAGTAAGTTGACTGTTTATATTATGTTGAGAGACTTTTTTGTATGTAGTACAGTAATTTCTTTAACTGATCATCTTCCAAATCAGTCTTAATAAATCACCCAAATGTTTTTAATTCTTGCAGCCATAATCCTTCGACATCGATGACAACTTTAGCTACTCCCGTTCATCCGTCTAACCAATAAATCCATCCCTATAAATTATTCAGAAGAAATGAATTTTATGGCCGACGCGTCTGTGTGTTTCATCGCTTCGAAATTATGCAATTATCTAGAAGTGTTTCGTTCAGCGAACATCTTCAGATGTTTATATCTGTAAATATAGACAACTGATGCTTTATATAATTATCTTCACACAGATTAATCCCAACTGGCTGTACTATTCAAATCCCTTTCCAGAAAATGTACATTCTTTTTAGGTTATCGACTTGATTATCACAATTGTTCACGAACTTAGTTTTTTTCTATTTGTCTCTCCTTTCTATACTAAAGCAAGTTGTTTTTGTATCATGCGTTTTTTTTAAAAGCCCTCATTTTTACTTGATATCTAATTCTCCCCGAAGTTATTGTATTTTCAAATTTTGTTTGTATACAGTGATCAGCCATTATCAGACTGGAAGAATGCTGTGTAGCTCATTTAAACAATGTTGTTCAAAATTGTGCAGAGCAGAACTATTTTTACACAGAGAACTTGCTAATATTATTATGTAAATTGCCTTTTTGTAAAACTAATCACCTTTATTAAATAGTACCGCACTATTTAGTTTTTTTTCAACTATTTGTCCTCTTTCTTTTTCCGTATTAATTTTTTTTTCATGCTAACAACTTTTCAATTAAATTTTCCCAACAATATTTACTCAAGTTCAATTAAAAACATAAAACACTTGTTTGTACACCATTATGATGCGTTTGACATTTGATTTCAATAATTGTGTTACCTGATTATTTGTTTTCATTCAGATTTCCTATAAAATCCACTTGTACAATATTCATTTTGTTCATATTATTATTATTCTTTATTGAGATTTAGGTAGCTTCAAAATTTTTTTTCCAGTTTTGTTAAACTATACGTCTATCTGGTAACAAAAACTTTGTACAGAACTTCTTATTTGCAAGACGTTCATTATTAATTTATTTGATTGTTTTCTATCATTACTAAGTGCCTCCTAATTTATTGTTTTACTGTTCCAGTACTCTTAATCGTTTTCCTAAAAACTCACCGTCATCAAAGTTCAGTGTGCTAAAGACTGCCTTAGTTGTTTCTTGTGTTCAACTGGATGAGTTTGTTTCTTCACTCTGTAGCAGTAACGTTGCATTTGTTGCGTATTACTTTTGACACTACAGTCTACTCAGTGATTAAAGTAACTGTAAATTGCATAAGCCAGATTCGCAAATACTTAAATATTGTGAGATATACGCTACAGAGTTTTAGTTCTTTTGGTGACCAAAAGATCATTCTTGATGCTGATTATTATGACAACTTGAGCCAATGTAGTGAATTCAATAAATTATCTCCAATGTATCAGCCTAATTGCTAAATATATGTTAACATAATAAATCTAGTAATCCATACTAAGTCTGAACAGTTAGGATGAATCGACTCTGGTTTCACCATGCTAAAAGCGCTTAATTGCCTATGGTTAACAAGCATGATTAGTTGATCAACAAATTTAAAACAAGAAAAATTTTGACATACGCTTTGAAATAAGGTAGTCCATAAGTTTCTGCTGTGCACTAATGATGTGATTTTATATGGGTGAAAATTACAAATAAACCGATGCCATTCACCAAGGAAAGCAGTCGGCTCGCGTCAATTACAGTACAAAACGAAATGATTTACTCTTAATATTCAGTAGTGGATACATCCGTTACCATCTTCGCTCACACTTTCAATTCGTGATTCATGTGCTTGGTCCCGACCAGATCACACGAACGACAAGATGAATTGTGACATTGTTTGGAATGAACCTACTCCAAATAAAATACTGGATTTTACTTACAACCAATATACCTAATGATACGCAGTCTGTAGTAGTCACAAAAGACATAACGTTTTCGTAGAAATAACATTTCACGCATTGTTTTAACTTGTTCAACATGGGAAATGGATAGTGTGTTTACAATTCATTCAATGCAAAAAAGTTAAATTACATTGTGAAGGAATATTAAATGACGTTGAGAGCAAATGTTCAGATCTTATTATCTATCTGGTTAAATATGTGCGTGAATTGCGAAATGCACATGTTGATTCCAAAATTACACTCGATATGGACATAGTATACCAAAGATGATGGTGAGTAGTATCACTTGTACTATGAAGTATTACAATTCTGGGGCACATCTTTACTCTGAATACCAGCACCAGGACGGTCCACTCTGTGAACAGGTTTCGACAATTCCACGGAAGTTTCTTTAAGAGGATTTGTGCAGTATATAGCTTTGTTACTATTTAATTTCTGAGGGTCTCTGTTCTCAACATCAAGCTTGTCACTTTCTACGTAAAAGAGTAATGAAAGGATAATGAGTGAATAAAAGATTATATTATATTTACACCACATTAGATATCTTTTCCAACAACTATGCTATTAAATCTTTTGGTGAATTTAAGGAAGTTTCTGTACAAATGTTTCTAACAAATGTATACAATAAGGCAACTAGGGGAATCGGCTGACTATGTTCATGGGTATGTTGAACAATGGAAACAGGTAGGACAAGCGTATAAACTTTTAGTAAATTTATTTGAATGCATTGTGTATTCACATATTTTCCTATGTATTTTTCCATAATTTTCTAACAAAACATTTCGTTATTGACAGTAGGAATACGATGAACAAAAGACGATACTCAACGACATGATTATTAGCCTGGGAAATATTTGGGGATCGCAGGTTACCTAAACGAACTTTATACAAAGCCTTAAATTCCATAGTTCAAGGCAACATCATTGGGTATTATTGATCTTAACTGAAAGTTTGAAAAGTTCAGAATGATGATATGCCGATTTTATTTAGAAACAATTATTAATCACACAAAAATAATATCATTAAAAGCTATATAGAGTAGGACATAAATCTGTTCGATTCTTGAGTCTCAATTTCGTGTAGCTGGTTAACAATTGTTCCACTACTTTTATTAAACATTAATGTTGCATTCGATTCGTCTGTGTAACTCTGGAATTATCTATATAAAAGTTCTACTAAAAAGAAAACACTAATTAGGTAAACTTTACCTAATGTTTTTTGTGATATAAATAAATGTCATTCTTAAAGAGTTCAATAGTGTATTTATCAAGAAAATTGTAACAGGTTTCAGAACATTAATTTATAACACTTAAACTGTATTCTACTAACGAGAAATTATGAAATGTAACAGAATGAATAAAGAGAGGACTATTTTTTATGTATGACATTACCAGTAGAACTAGTTAGTTATTCAATATACTGATTTGTCAATTATATAATTATAATATCCTAAATTTAGTCTCTCTCCCTCTTTCTTCTGGTGGTCGACTGGATTATGAAGACCTCGACATCTGAGGGGAAACACGGCATACAATGGACAGCTCAGAACCATTTAGACGATTTGAACTTCGCAAATGACCTAGCCCTCCTATTGCATACACACGAACAAATGCAGATAAAGACAGCCAGTGTAGCAGCAGTCTCTGCATCAGTAGACCTCAACATACAGAAGGAGAAAACCAAGGTCCTCAAATTCAAAACGGAGAACAGCAATCCAATCACACTTGATGGCGACACTCTGGAAGATGGAAAATCCATCACATACCTGGGAAGCATCATCGATGAACAAGGAGGTTCAGATGCAGACGTAAAGGCGAGGATTGGTAAAGCAAGGGCCGCATTCCTACAATTGAAGAACATATGGAACTCAAAACAACTGTCTGTCAACCAATATCAAAGTCACAGTCTTCAATACGAACGTGAACATAGTCAGTTCTACTGTATGGAGCTGAAACTTGGCGAACTACTACAACCATCATCAAGAAAGTACAAGTATTTATAAATAGCTGTCTTCGCAAGATACTCAACATCCATTGGCGGGATACCATCAGCAACAGCCTTCTGTGGGAGAGAAAAATACAGCTTCCAGTTAAAGAGGAAATTCGGATGGAAATGGATAGGACATACATTACACAAATGATCAAACTGCATCACGAGGCAAGCCCTAACTTGGAATCGTGAAAGGAAATGGAAAAGAAGAAGGCTAAAGAACACATTACGTCAAGAAAAAGAAGCAGATATGAACAGGATTGCCGAGGATAGGGTTGGATGGAGAATGCTGGTGAGCGGCCTATGCTGCTTCACGAGGAGTAACAGGCGTAAGTAAATTTATTCTCTAAACACAAATGAGTATATGTATATTTATAAGTCATACTTTTAAATATTTTATCATATTAATTCTTTTTCACTATAGAACAAAACAATATAGAATAGAAGAGAATCAGTAAAAAACAGATCTATAATTTAAATAATGAACATTTTTTTTAATTGACACAAATGAATGTATCTTGGAAGTGAAAAATTAATAAATTGAATAATGATTAAGAAGAAAAGATGAGAAATGATTTTATTCAGGAAACATTTCATATATATATATATATATATATATATATATATATATATATAATTCTATTATACTAATAAATATCTGTAATTAAGTGAATTGATCTGATCGTAACTGCTACACTAACATGGTTGTCAGGTTTACATATTGTAATGATTCAATCAAGTTATATTGGATGGAACAATTGCTGTTGTTGTTTTTTAAGTTCTATCGTGCTAAACAGATCATTCGAGAAACGATAGTCAGTCAGTCAGTAACAACGTAGAACTTCGTACGTACGAACATCAGTTCGAGTTACCACACCACATTAGCACAGAGATGCAGTTGTCCATTTAAATCCCGTAGTGGTTGAGGTAGTAAAAGTATAAACAGTAATCGGAAAGACTAGGGTTTGATGTTATTCAAGAAGTATAATCCAGTGAAATAAACTTGGAAGGAGAAAAAAAGGAGAATTCAGAAGATTAGAATTTGGGATAACACAGAGTGGATGCTTCTGTGCCATTGCAAACGATTTTGAGCCATGTCATTTAGGGTCTCTAACCATAGGCTGCTATCATCTCGCGGTCCCCAACCAGGTAGTCGACACCTAACAACATGGCTCAGTCCACTTCGTGGACTTGTGCCATGTTTTGGTCTGGCCGCCCCTAGCCTTCTTCCAACCTACTCCTACACTAGTGAACATCGCACGTCGAGGCAGTCGGTCGTTGGGCATACGTAACACGTGTCCCAGCCATCTCAACTGATGAAGCTTCACTACTTCACCAGTTGATTTGCCATCCTTACCTAGTACCCGTTTCCTAACAACTGCATTACTTAGTTGATGGTCTCAGGATATACGAGCAATATTTCGAAGACACCTATGATCAAATACTAGTAACCTACGAATATCCTCTACTCTTACCGGCCATATGTCACTGCCATAAAGTAGGACGGAACAAACTGCTATGCAGTAAACACGTCCTTTGGTTGATAGACAGATATCTCGCCTACGCCATAAATGACGCAAATTGGCAAAAGTTAGTCTAGCCTTCTGTATCCGTGCTGAGATTTCGTCACACACTAAACCACATGAGGTGATGAGACTTCCAAGATAAGTGAAGCGGTCGACACACTCAACTACTTCACTCCCTATCACTAGTTCGGGTGTCGATGTAACCCAATCCTGAAGCAACATTTTGCATTTCGAGGGGGGTGAGAATCGCATCCCCAACGATAAGAATAAAAGCATCAACTTAAAGTATGAGAACAAAGTCGTACAGGATTGTGAAAGGAGTAAAATGTTTCTATCAGATAACCAGCATCAACAATGCTCCCTAATCACAACAGATGTTATAAAATTTTGACTCTAAAAATGATACATTTTACTTCAACTTTATGGATTTTCATCTCCGGTGGTAATTTCGTTTGAAGTATGAAGCTGACACCTCAAAAACTTGTCATAAAAAGGTTGGGTGTGATCCCCCCGGCTAAATATTTGCCCCTTAGATTACAGTCATTCTCCCAGGATTCTAAGACTACCACTAACACAGTTTCTTTTTCAGGTCCCCTAAAAGGAAAGATAATTTATTGGTGTAGTCAACTGGGGAGTAGTGACAACTGTGTTCAGACCTCTAACAATACACGAGAACATCTCGTTTAAATCTACCGACAGTACAAAGAACCCAATAAGAACTCATTATAAGGGTGTTTAGACAAAGAATAAACAACTGTCTATTCTTTTCCTACTCTTATTTAGTCATAATATACTAAAATTGGAAGTCTAATGTACCGTGGTAAACATTTATCATAAGACTGCGGAGGAAAGACAGAAACATTAGCTACTGTAATAACACTAAAGTTTGTGTTCTATAGAGAACAGAGTTAGTTAGTAGTGGAAAAAGTCCAGAGATTAGATTGTTGAAGGGCTACTGAAACTCATTAACGAAGTACTCATTTAGACGTCATGTTATTGTTGGTACATAATAAGACAACTATTCTAAGCTTTAACCTCTCTTTGAAAAAGGAACATGG